ATTAGAATATTAGTTCTGGCTTTAAATAAAAAGCCAACTATGTATATGAGGTCTTCATTAAGAGTATGACCTGGCTCTGCCATTTGGCTTGGGAGTGGGAGAGTGCTCTGTCACCCTGGGGATGGTTGCCTTTTCTGCCTTTTTAAACTCTTTAACTTTTAACATCTTTAGCTTAACCTTTTTAATTGTGTTTTTAACATTGTTCTTATTTATGCTTTATATTATGAGATGTTTGTTGTATTGTAAACCCTCCAGAGTCAGTTAGGTGAAAATGGTGAGCTAGAAATGTGATGGATGGATGGTGGGATAAATAAATAAATAACCCAGCAGAGTTAAAATAACATTCAAGCAGTAAACAATCTGAACTTTCTGAAGATGAGATGGTGTTTTGTTTGTTTATTTGTTCAGGGATATAATTACACTGGTTTAAAGAAGTCAGATCGGAGATAGATTTTGCTGTTGCTGAAGCCAACATCACTATTCCAATTCAGAATAGATATTCTGGGCCTGGGGAGAAGAATTTCTTGTAATATCCATTCTTTTGCTGCTGGAAATTCCATTTTATGGTTAACTCAGGACCCAGCTATCAAATAAAAATGAAAAAAAAAGAATCCAAATTAAAACAAAACCTGAACAACTAGCACACCTCCCCAAATCCTAGCATTGTCAGCCAAGAATGAATAAGACAGAAAGATTTTAATGATTGCTGATTTTATTGGGATACTTCCCCCAACTGCATTTCAAAGAAGATGGATCCAATGTAAAACTCCCTGGAAACCTTACTGAAAAAAATCAGTGACTTTTTCTGTGACACTAAATAACTATACAAAACACTGTTGATATAATTATGACTTTTTATCAGCATTCATTCATAGGTTCTTCTCTGGCTCTACTAAGTAGGAGACACTCATACATACATCTTGGTGTTAAATTGAATCCAAAATTGTTGTTAACCTGGTTGCTGCAGGTACAACAGCCATCAAGACTCTTTCTTGTTTCTTTATTTAATATCATTATTCCAACGGAGAGCAGTGGAAGCATGTCTAGCTGGCTGATATTAATATTCAAGGAGATATGGATATCACTAAACATAAATTACATTCACATCAGAATAGGAACTGTAAGACCATTATGCAGTTGAATGGGGCATGGTTCCAAACAAGCATGTGTAGACTAATATACATACATACATACATACATACATACATACATACATACATACATATAT